TGCTTCCTTCTCTCCTTTCTACCCACCAATGAAACTATATTTTATCTGCCCATCTTCAGCTATATTTATTAGTTAATTCATTTATATCTCACTTTTTTCCCAATGGGGATCCAAAGCAGCTTACATAATATTCCTCTACTCAATTTTGTTATTATGACAACACTCTGAAGTTAGTTAGGTTGAGTGTGTGTAAGTGGCCCAAAGTAATCACCTCCTACAGCAAAGGGGGCTTTCAAACCTGGGTCTTCCAGAACCTAACCTGAAAGCTCTATACCATAATGGCTTTTTGAGGTGGTTGCTGTTGAAACCAGGGCTTGAAGGCTGGCAATAATGTTGTAGTTTCCTAGCAACAACCACTGAGGTAATCTGTTTCTTAAAGTACAGATGCTCTTCTTATCATTTTGGAAGGTTTCAACTGCTTCAATGCATTGTTTTCTTGATTTTTCTGCAAACCTAGGCTTTTTTCAGGTTTGTAGAAAGATATGTCTTGTCCGTCTATTGCCCCAGCCTGTGTATTTATATATCCATGGATGAGGCCACATTAACAATGAAATATCTTATAGGTAGAGATGGTCTGCATGCCATTCCTAGCAGGGTTTTTTCCAGCCATTTCTGCAACGCCTCTGGGGCCTGGTAACTAATTTTTAGAAGAGGGTGGATTTTTCCCCATGACATGGTAACAAACCAAAGAAATGGCAAATAGGTGATCCTGACTGATGGATCAGCACTCAAACTGAATTCTTTCTGAGATTCATCAAGCAGAGATCAGTTCACACATCAAGATTTCTTAGCACTCTTGGTCCACCACTGAATATGTACACTGATGGAAGTGCTGAACTTTGGGTTATATTTCTTTTGCTGTGCAGACATTTTCCTAACCTTTTACAGGATGGCACTGTCCAAATCACTAGAAAGTGGTTACTTTCAAGTTCTTAGGAAAAGATAACCTGAATTAACGTAAAAAGCTTGGGTACATGATGCAATATATTTCCTACCCTCCTGACTGGAAAATTCTCCTTCTGGACAGGAACCACACGTGTAGCAACAAATAATTTTCCCTTCCGCCTCCTTCTTGTAATAACCAGGGTAGCAGTGATCATTGCATTCTGAAAGGGGCAACCCCTATGGAAGAAAAGAGGAAGGAGTTCAGAGTTGTGAAAACTGTGCATCTTTTCATTGTCTGTAAAATGAGCAGTCTCTTAATTGGATGGGGAATATTTGGGGGGCAATGAAAAGAACATGACTATTCAACCCAGTGCCTCACTTCAGTCTTTCAGGTGTACAAGGAAATATGTTTGCCAATAGTTTGCAGTGTTTTGCCCCCCCAGACGGAAGAAAGAGTCAGACAACAAGGTTGGATGAAATAAGGCCACTTTATTAAATATTAAAGTAACGGCAAGGGCAAACATGAAAAACAGTGGCATGGCAAGGCCTGGTGTCACTTTGACCCCATCCTTAACCGTATAAAAGGCAAGACACCATGGCCCTGGGTTGGAGCCAACTGTAAGTTGCTTGCAAACCCAGCCGAGCCAATGATTGGGATGCACCTTCAGGAGCCCTCAAACACCACCACACGGTCAGCGCTGAGTCTCCATCGTGGCCATCCCCATAGGCAGTCTGCAAGCCTCATCCCTGGCTGCACGGCTGCAGGGTTGATCCCTCAGACCCCTCTACTCCTCAGGGGTTATTAATTGGTGCTTACGTAGCTGCTGAAGTTTATTTAAACCTAATTCTGCCCTAACAAAATGACGAACTAGACCCAAGGCACCATCCCAAACCAATTCTTTAATCCACTGGCAGCAGTGCAGGGTAGGCGAAAAAGACCCTTCTCAAAAGCCAATCAGAAAAGGGGACAAAAAATTCCTACCCGGTCCCCCGTTAAATGGGGCAACCAGCCTGTGCTTACACTACATACAGGGCGGGTGGGTGGGCCGATCATGAGGCGAGCAACTGAGAGGGGTGAGCGGAGCCAGCCTTTAAGAACCGCACTGGCTCCACTCCCCCTCTTGGAGTTGAGGCTGCACTGCAGCCTTTCCTTCATTCCTTCTCCCGAGGAGGCAAACGCGGCCCCCAGGAGGCATGCCGTGGGCTGTCTCCTGTGGGGCCGGATTGTTTTTAATTCCATTGAGCTGAGTCTTTATTACAGAGCCTGATTCTACCTGACAGGGAACTTCCAGGCTCCAACCTACCCAGCAAATAGATTCACCCCAGAATGGAATCTATGGAAGTGCCATCAAGTCATAGCTGACTAATGGCGATGCCATAGGGTTTTCAAGGCAACAGATAGCCAGAGGTGGTTGCTATTGCCTGCCTCTAAGACCCTGGTATTCATTGGGGGGGGGGTTTCTCCCATTCAAATACAAGCCAGGGCCAAGCCTGCTTAGCTTTCAAAATCTGACAAGATTGGGCTAGCCTGAGCTATCCATACCTGATTAAAATGTCCGTGCCAAACAATCATATCCTCATGAATGACAAATTGTCTGCCTTCTGAAGTATCAGCATCCACCCTTCCAACTTTCACTCTTTGAAATGAATTGTTTGGGAATATGATCAGGTTTGTTATATCAAATCCAGCTCCCATTTCCTTGTTCTTATTAAAAGACATTGTTTCTCCAGCTGAATTGTTAAATGAAATGTCTTGGAGAAAATGGTGGAGCTACACAGAGAGAGAGAGAGAAAGAAACAATTGTTGTTTGCACAAGATTTTTATGAATGTCTTTGAAAACATTACTTTCCCCATATTTATGAGCTCATGGAGCATTTAAAGTAGATTTCATGTTCCTTTCTATGCGTACTCTCCCATGAACCCCACGTATCAAGAGAGACAGTAGCCCAAATCCTCTCTTTCCTCTCATTGCCAAGCAGGCTTTGATGGTCCAAATCACCTCTCTCTGATTTCTTGCCAGATCTCCTCCCAAAGAGCTATGGGATGGAACAAATTATTTAGCTTTTGCAGGAAAGCAGAGAATGAGGAAGGGAAGAGACATTAAGGTCAGCAAGGCAGATGAACCCATAACCAACCACCCCCCCACCCAATGTTTGGCTTTCATTCCCTCTCTGTGGATGTGATCCATCATCACCAGTGGGTGCTTCTTGTTGGAGAAAAGTTGTAGGAAATGGGGGGAGGGATTTGGCAGCAGCCAAGCATGCTGATGTCACTTCCTGAGCACCCAAATGTGATGTCAATATGTCACTGGAGGATGCCAGGGACACTGTTTCATACGGGCCAAACCCTGTGGTTAAGAAGTGGAGATGGGACCCTATCACAAACTTTATAGTAGCAATTATAATAGACATGTGGACAAGTGCCACAGAGGAGAAGAGTAATAATAGGAAGGGCTATGGGTAAGATTAAGCAGGGGGATGATTTCCGATATATTTAAATGCAAAAGGCGCAAGAAATGTGAAACTACAAATACTTTTTTTGGTAGATATGCACAGAGAACAAAGCTGGAGGTTTCCCGGGCAAGTAACAAAATATTAATGACAATGAAGTAGATTTTACCTGCCAAGGATGGAGATCTTGAGGATCAATTCTTTTGTCACCCATAATTGCTCGGTGATTAGATGTAGATAGGAACATGGCATGCAAAGCATGTGCCACAGCATAGACAGCATTATAGATACTGTAGCTGTGGCCAGTCATGTGCATTTCAAAAAGTGGCCCAGGGAGACTCTCCAGCCTCTCCTCCCCAGTACATGACCCAATGTCCACCACTGGCTCCTGGGAATTTTGAAATGAACAATTGAATGTTTGCTCCCAGAAGTCCTTGAGAAACCCATTTCCTTCTGTCCAGTTAGGTTTGACATTGCGAAGGAATTTCTGGAACCCAAGAACGTCAAGGGAATGAATTGTGAAAGAAAGGGCCCCTTGAAAATAGTCATAACTGAAGGCCCTTTGAAAGCCTGATAAAGCGATATCGACCTGGCCTGTCATAATCCACACTTTTTCAATTGATACTTTTTTATCATATAGATAATGCCCATAGAATATCAATGAGTTCAATAGGAGCATGGTCACAGCTTCTCCATGGAATAAAACTGTATTGGCTTTGGTGTCTGCTAGAGTTGGATAGATATTTGATAATAAACCATAAAGTTCTTGTAAGTGGTCCCATCTGGGTTGTTTTTGGATTCTTCCTGTGGATGCTAAACAGATTCCATTCCTCAAAAGCAATGGCTCCAGAGTCTTCAAGAACTTCTCACCACTCTCATCATCTACAATGAGGAGTCCAACCCATGTCCATCGAAAATGGAGAAGCAACCAAATAATCGCCGGATACTGATGGGCTGCATTTGGCGAGATGCGGTAAAAGGTGGGGGATTCTATAGCATTCCTCTCCTCAAGGGCAAATGATCCATATGTGAGCTGAAAGAAACATTATGGAATAATTTAAAAGGCATTGATGAGGGGCATGTGCTTAGGTGTCTGATTATGGAACTGACATTTTGTGAAGGATTTCTTTTACGTATCATGGTCATGTCAAGAGACTGGGCCTCTTTCACGTGGGCCTCTCTTGTTCAAACTGAAACATTGGTTCAGGCTAAAGCATACAGAACATGGGGGGGGGGGAATGCAGAACATTGGTCCTGCATTGGGCAGGGGGTTGGACTAGATGGTCTGTATGGCCCCTTTCAACTCTATGATTCTATGAAATTTTGGCTCTGAGTACTGAGGCCAAGCTGACAGTAACACTGAGGGAGAGATAAGGGAGGGTGAGAGGCTTTCACTTGTACAAGGTGTCTCATGAGCCCTAGCACTTTCAACGCCACCTAAGTGGGCCTACACATTCCATCTCATTAATGTAAGGATTTGTGAGCGTTTGTTAATTGGGTCTGATGCAGCTGCAGAACATCAGATACTCATTGGCAATCTCAGCTGATTGGCATGCCTAAATCATGCCAGCAGAGGCGACCTGACATAAATGAAAGATTCTTTATTTTGGTTTTGGGACACTAGTCTTGGGACACTTTTGACTGGAATGGGCCATGATGGCCAGGTACCTGTTGAATTTACCTTTGAAACAATTTTGAATTTTGCCTTGCTAAGTAACATCTGGATTAGAGAATGGTGTTCTGGTATCGAGAGTATTTAAGAATAATGTGCAGACTCCTATATGCACTAGTGCACCCAAAGGAAATACCAGTTCTGGTTTAAATATAGCTGCACCTCCCAAAAACTGAAATCTGCAGAGGTGGCAGTTATTTTTTTGGAAAAGGTCACCCAAGTAGAGCAAGTCCACATTATGATGTATTGATTTCATAAACTATGTCAAGTTTAAGATGCCCTACAGCATTGTACATTTTTTACAGACCCCTGAGGTTTACCAAGCTTTTATATTAATCCAGCTCTGTCTTCTAAATGAAATTGCAAGTACCATTACTTGATACTCTTCCATAATTTTTCTGCACAGAGCAACTCTCTTCAAGGTTTGATGATTAATCATTATGCAATCATACAGAATTGCCACCCCCCACCTGAGCCAAAGAAAAACTTAGAAAAAATAAAAACATGCAGTAGGTCAAATCAAGCATCCTCCCATGCATTAATCTTACTTGAGGAATTTTGTGGAGACTTAAGATGTCTGCCATACGGAAAGAGCTATCTGCATCAGCTCCACCAATGATAGCTATGAGGTTCTTCTTTCTATCACATATGTAATTAGGGACAGATTCTTGCAATTTGAAGAGCAGGTCCATGGTGCTGTGATATGTCATCTTTGCATTGAAGTAGCTGTCATAGATGTGGAAACCAAGTGTAGCATTGGACAAAATGTGTGGATTTCCATTGATCTCTTGAGCACTAAAGACCAAGGCCAGGATATGTTGGTAGAACTTTGTCAACATTCTTCAGAAAGAGAGAAACTTTTATAACATAATTCTGAAGAGCACTAGCTCATTTCACAGTACTGCTTGTTCTTTCTCCCCCCCCTTATATCTTCCAAAACAAAACAACAACAACAACAAGAACCACAACCAACCTTCTGAATAATATCAAACTTAATTTACCTCCCCCCTAACCTGTCATCAGCATGGTTGAAATTATGTAAACTCTGGTCCACAGGATTACATTCATTTTAGGGAATCACACAGCTTGGTGTCAGTTGTAGTAAATGGGGACAAAAGCTGTTTATTCCTTTTAAAGATTTATAGATGTTCATGTAACATGCCTGGCATACCTAGTGACAGAGGAGACTGACTCCTCATTTCCTGAGCAGCTTTGTCATGGATCCAGGTTCCTCAGTTTTATCTGAATTCTGCTTTGATCTATTTAGTTTAGAGACAATAGTTTAGTGTTGCCAGGTCCACCTTGCCACGGGCAGGGGATGGAGGGGTTAGGGTTGCCAGATCCAGATGGATATTCGGAAAAAATCTTTTGACAGAGTTGTGCAACAGTAGAATCAGCTGCTTAGGGAGAGGTGAGCTCCTCTTCACCGGCAGTCTTTAAGGAGTGGCTGGACAGACACTTGTCAGGGATGCTCTAGGCTGATCCTGCACTGAGCAGGGGGTTGGACTAAATCACCTGTATGGCCCCATACAATTCCGTGATTCTATGAAAACTCTTGGAGATTTGGGGATGGAGCCTGGGGAGGACAGGGACCTCTGTAGGGTACAATGCCATAGTGTCCACCCTCCAAAGCATCTTTTTTTTTTCTCCTGGAGAACTGATCTCTGTAATCTGGAGATGAGCTGTAAGTTCAGGTGATCCCCAGGCACCACCTGGAGCCTGGAATCACTACTCGAACCCTCACATTTCTTTCTCAAAACTTTTGTTTCAGACCTCTGCTGACCTTCCTAATTCAGGTGGAGAGTTAGCCACACACAAAAATCCAGTCATACTTCATTTATTTCTGTTGAAAACTTCAGTCAAGAATCTTCAGAACCTTAAAAGGTAAAGGTCCCCTTGCTCGAAAGCCAGTCGAATCCGACTCTAGGGTTGCGGTTCTGTAAGGAGCAGATCTTTTTATTGGACTTTTATACATGAATAAAGTTGATATTAAAAAGACTGCTTGGAATACTGACCAGAGACTTTGAGCTATAAGGGGTCAAAGGAAGGCTAATGGAGACAGAATTACAGCTGAAGTATTAACCAGCTAAAGCAAACATCGACTCAGGAAAGAGGCCCCTAGTTATCTACATGTTAAGCTTTAAGAAGCTACCAAAACAATGGGTTCCTAGGACGTGCCTAGACATGATGTCTCCGAGATGGCAAGTTTGACCCTGAAGAGCAACCCTCCAGAAAGATTCATCACACGTAGCAGCTGTTGTTTACTCGACCCGCTGACACTACAGATGACCTCTGCTGACGCTGCTCCACGTGATCCGGCTTCAATCTAAGCACCACCTTACTAGTTAGTCAATATTAATATTAAATTGACACGATAGCCAATCACAGACATGTTGGGAAGGGCTCTATGATAATGAGGATGTCGTTCCCCTCCCTTCTCAAGAAGAGTTTAAGACAGAGAACACAGAACTGCCAGACAGCTTTTTTCTTCTCTTACTTTGCTTTCTTTCCTCAAATACACACTGTCTATATT